AAAATTGCCACTGAGCTTGTTCACTTCTCCACAAACATTGATAACTTGTCTCACTTCTTTCTCTATTTCATCTAGAGCAATTGAAGTCAATTTTTCCAACGCAACCAAAACAACAGCGTCGGCTGCCATGATTGAGATGAAGAAGGAAAAGAGACACAAGTATGTGTGGTTAATTGTCTGGTGGAGTTAAAATGGCTTAGGAGGGGATTATGTTTCTCCAGTTTTATAATGAGATGACAGCTACTGGTAAATTGATTGCCCTCGTTTCTTGCAATTATTGAACCTAGTAAGAGAAAAAAAGAGAAGATACGTGATCACTTTCCTTTTGATTTTTTCCATCTAATCTCTCCCTTTTATATTTCATAATTGTGTCATTACCAAAAAAAATATATATTTAATAATTGTGAAATTTTCTTTCATTACTTTATCTGAATGCTCCGATGTGCATTCACATGGCAGTCAAGATTCCATCTAGTCTCTTCCTTTTATATTTCATAATTCTGTCATTACCAAAAATATATATATATTTAATAATTGTGGAATTTTCTTTCATTACTTTATCTGAATGGTCCCATGTGCATTCACATGGAGATCAAAATTTCAGTAAAATAATTGGAAGAAAGTTCCTTGTGGTTTCGTGAAATTTCAAAAGCATAAAGAAGAAAGAAAAAGGGTAAAGCCCCAGCAATTGTTAATGCTGAAAGCCTGAAATTACTTAGTAATTAACATCCAAAGTGGAACACCAAGAAACAGAGCATTTCAACAAATTTCAATGCTCTCCATCTCGCTTTTTCTTTATTTCACAACTATGAAAGTTTTCCAAGAGTTTGATTTAACTTTACAATTCAAATGTATGTTTGGTTTAGACATGAATTATTTTTTCCTTTTTTTGTAAAACTATGAATTCTAGAAATATGTATTAAAAAATATATTCCTGATAGAGAGGAGTCGAACATATATTCATAAAGCATAATCTCGAATGTAAGGGACGTCTTAAATAGGATTCTCACTTTAAAAATAAAAGAAAAAATATGTAGTTTAAATATAATATAAATTACTCTATTTATTATTATTACAATTAGTTTTAAATTAAATCCTTGGTACTATGTGTAGAACATGTTTTCTAACAATTGTAATATACATTAGCATACTTGCATATAACATTTTCAAATCTCTTTTCTATGGTTAATTATTTTAAGATATTAGTATTTATAGAATTTATCTCTTAAAAATTAAGAGAAAAATAATTTTAAAATTACATTTTTTCAATAAAATATAATGAGAGAGGACAAAAAACTGTTTCTTTCCTATGGTTAATTATTTTAAGATATTAGTATTTATATAATTTATCTCTTAAAAATTAGGAGAAATATAATTTTAAAATTACATTTTTTCA